ATGCTGGTGCAGCAGACGTTCCAGCTGCGACCCAGGATGAATTTCCCAAGACTTGCTGGGATGGGAAATATCCTGCTCCTGGTGAGAAGCTGATGGTATGTGAAGTCCTGTCTTGGTTTTGTTAGATAACCATCATTCTATGTAATGTTAACGCTAATTGTTAAAAGAAAACTACCACAAGTGGTGGTCAAACACTGTATACATGGATATCCTCGAACTGCAAAGATGGGAAGCCAGCAGCGCCAGGCGACTGTTATAGCCACAACCCCAATCCGTCAGTGTAAGTTTTCACCGAGAGCGTTAACGTACTCACGCATACTAACGGTTTCGCAGTGTCAATTTTTGCGCATTGTATGACTCGAAGGGAGGACAGTGTAAGACGAACCCGAATGCAGGAGAGTGTGAACGTTGGGGCGCTACGACTGTGCGACCACAGTGCAATTACTGGAAGCCAGGCCTTCAGGATCTCCCTGATTCGTATTACCAGGGCAAACCTGATAACTTTTAAAGATCACATTCGCATGGTCAACTATGTATACCAATCTGATGGTATACCTTCCCGAGGTGTTTACGATCTTTGTGATGCCGTTGCTGGCGTTGAGTGCGAGTGTGTGAATGGAGCTTCTGCTTAGGGACATCAAGCCATCAACCTCATGTGATTCAGCGATCAGTCAAACCACACAAATTTTCAATATTTACATGGAACTTTTGATGTCCAGTCAACACTAGGGCATTACGAATTGTTGTACTCGCCTATACGTTCGGACATCCGCTTGCCAAACAAAGACCCATCGTCCACGGGCTTGGCGCACTTTCCCTTCGCTATTTTAATGCCCGTCCTCACTCTAGACATAATTTTCTTCTTCGGATAGTCTTGACCACGCTATACCAGCTAAAGCTATGCCACTTTCTTCGAAAAGATGGCAGCCTTTTACGTACCCATGCTCGGAAGCAGGTTCTGTCCACTTCTCGCTATGATGGCTGTATGTCTAATGCGAATTATAGCTCCTGCTTCTCTAGTTATGCGTGCACAACGTTCGGGCAGTGATGACATGCACGTATGAGCAAGATCTGAGCCCGTAGCCTCGCTATCCTATATTCAAACTTCGCCCCAGTGCTATGCATCGGTTTGAACTCGCAGTCAAATAAAGAACAAGCGGAACTCTTCTTATCGGACTCGAACAACAGATGAAGCAAACAGGTGAGTCCATTATCAAGATTCAGCTATGCTAACTATAGAAGTCTGCGCACGAGCAGCATCACATGTTTCCACCACCAAAGAGAAATGTCAGCTTTTTACGTGGACAGTTTTAACCACGTGATTTACAGTCATCTCTTGGAAAGGAGAAGCCTGCGTACCACCAGTTATTTTGATCTAGGAACAGCATTGGGGAGAAAGCCTTCATGGGATCACACCCTAGAGGGACCTCGACCTGTAGACCGTGTTCCATGACAGATGGCTCTATACAGGCATCAGCACACAAAGGAAAGAGGGAGACTTACCTGTAATGACGAGGAAGAAGAAAGGTTGTAGAAGAGGGGGAGAGGAGGGCACTAAATATCATAGTGATGGGCCGGGGCTTGCGATCACGACAACGATACGTGTCTTCGTGCTCTCAACCCAGGGAAGCCACTGCAGTGTGTCCCTTGGATGTTATCAACCGCTTGGGGAGGAGCCTCCTCCCAACTGTCCATGCAACCGGACACTCTTGTTCATTTGTCGCGGGGCAAACGCCACCTACTTTCCCCTTTCTCAACACTTACCAGCATGTGATTAAGTTGAAGGGAAGGATCATCCAAGATACAGCGCAAGATATTACAGTCCAACCCTTCGACTACCTAATAAAGTCACAGAAACTTGAAGTCACCCCTTCCCCACCCCCATTCCGATAGGTAGCCATCATCACGGCCTTGTTAAATCGCATCCCTCTTACTATCATACAATAGGCTAGTACCCCTGATCGTGTCGACGGCCCGCACGCACTGATCGCTCCTCCCTACATGATAGAACCATGACGCATAAGATGCGCCATTTGATGAGGTATAGCATTGGGTAGCCATATGATAGCATATAGGAGTGAGGTGTAGTCTCAAATCGGTGCTCGTTTATCTATAAACATGTACAGTACACAATTCTCCTCGTATACCAACGACAGCTAGTAAATCACAGCGCGGCTTAAATGGCTAGGCACTGGATAAGAATGATTATCTACATATAATTCCTTAAGCAAATCTTCAGGCGGTAGAGAGCACCGGAGTCTAAATCCAACTCTACAATTAGACTTTTGAATAATATTTTCGATGCCTAGGCCCTAAGAAAGATTAAGTTCGCGGTTACAACCTACGCTCAAGATTCTATTACTAAGTTAACCATCTTCGATGTTCGCCAGTAGAAAGATTGACAGTAAGCAGATATCTATATAAATAATCATAGCTAGATGCTAGAAATGATAAAGGTATTACAATCATGAGCATAGTGGTTCTCGAAATCTTGATTTCCAGATGTTATCCACACGTCTAGTGCCCTTGGTAGGCGGCAAACTCTTAATCTTAAATTCTAAGGGTATTTAGATAGCCCCACGGAAGGCCTCGCCGCGTCCTTATACGCGATAACTTAGGAATTCCAGCAGAGTGGCCCATCTGAAATAGCGTATATGTGTTTAAAATTAGCAGATAATAAAGCTAGGCGGAAAGTCCTCAAAAGTGACAATGCGCTGGTCGAATATATTTATTGGATTTCTTTAATCCTAATTCACGAAGTGAGGCTCTAGCTCCGCCGATTTGCCCTCGCAAGCTTCTGCATAGAACAGCGATGCAGCGTTGCTATGGTGGTTGGGCGACCGAATCACTGTGCTAGTCGGATAGGAAGCCGATCGAGTGGTAGTAAGTATCTATTCCTTCTTGCATCAGCACCACTCAACGACTGGTTTTGATATGCGCGGTACAATACTCGTACGCTAGACAAAATGTACAATGGTAAGCGGAAGAGAATGCATAATAGTAGATTAGATTACAAAAGTTCAAATAAGGAGTAGGTGTAACAAGCGCAACCCTCATTTGAGAGATCTCTCCGGTGCAACTTCAATCGAACCATAGACGCTAGGTGCTACACTAACCATTCGGCTATTGTAACACGCATACACAGTAGCGCTTGCTTGGACTACTCTTAGTGATTGATTAATTCGATAGGTAAATAAACAATGACGTACATAAACGTTGAATTTTTTCATAGGCGCAATCCTTGTATACTCGGTATTACTTTTGGCATATCTCACTAAACATACCTTCTTACAGTGAGCACTTCTCCGAGTTGGGGTTAGATAGGCGGATACTTGCCAAATTAAGCGCTTTTTTAGTCATCTTATTTTGGCAAATTATACAAATACGAATCTGTGGTAATAGCGCACATACGGATCCATTTGGAGAGAAAGACTAAACAGCGCATAGACTACTTTGTGTACCACGTGCTAAAGAAGCTGATCCATAGTCGGACCGTGGATGCTGTGGTGTATATATATATGAGGAGATGTTGGGTGCAATCAATATCATAACATTCCAAGCATAGAGAACCTACGCGCTTAATCCTGATCTTTCAATATGCGTTCTTTTATCACACTCTCACTCCTGACCTCAGGAGCTGTAGCAGTCTGGAATGCAAAGGCTTGCAACGGTGTGGGAGGCTGCATCTCAGGCACAACACTGACACCCGACCCCTTCAGATGCCCTGATGGTACAGGCTTGAATCTTCAACAAACTGCACATGCAGACATCGGCACTTGGGCCGGTGTATATGACATCATCTCCAAGGCTGAGTTTCCAGACCATTGCCTTCACGGCGCTAAGCCTGGTGCTAATGACTTGCTTGTTGTATGTTCTTTCCACAACAGTTCAAATCTACATCTAGCTCGGAGAATCTATCGCTGATTATTATGCAGGTTAGAACCCTAGACCTTGGTCGAAAGATGTACTCTTTCATAAGCGAGACTTGCGGGGACAAGAACCCTCCAGTCAACTGCTACAGTGCACTACCCAACCCTGGCTCGTAAGTAAGAGTCGTTCCTGTCAAACGACTCCATACTAACGTCTGAACAAAGATCGACAATTTGCTTGATAGTTGATAGCAACGGTGAGGAGTACGTTGCAAACCCCAATGCGGGTCAATGTGAGAGAGGGTCGACTATGCTTAATATTCCCAATCCTTGTCAAGGCTGGCAAATCGGCATGCCTGATCAGCCAGAGCAATCATTTTAGTTGGAACTCAAACCAGCTTTGGCGCTTGGGATAGCAGGTTGGCGTATCTCACTCAAGATCTTGAATAAAGTGATATTTTCATTAGGATGTTACTTTTCCTATATGACTCTGTTAATCTTAGTAGCCTCGACAAAAGATAGACTTCTATGATAGCTTCCCCTAATATGCTTTCATAATTCAATAGCCACTTCCTAGCACGATATATGACGGGCTGAACGCCCTTTGGATAGTTCCTCGATGGAATCTTAGATCATTCATGAAACCCGGATGTTGTCTGGAGCGCCTGGACTCTGTAAATCACCCGATCGGCGCTGAGACAACGCGCTCACACACTCTGGTCTAACACTTATACATTTGAAATAACACTAGACTCGTAGAGCAGGACGCTCTTAATTGGCATGATCTCCTGTAAGTCCGTGTTTCAAAACATAGTATCTTTCACTTCCACACGTGTATCAAATTAAAAGGATAACAGCAAACATTTATAGTAAGATTCAGTTGGTCATAGTTGTTAAGAATAGTACACCAAGGAATTACTTAGAATGAACGTGATTGCCATCTCTTATAGGAAAAGACATGTTCAAGGCACTTGTGCAACTCCAAGTCCTATTTGTCAAGTTGAAATTCTTATTTCATAGCATAAAATGGATACGGACTTACTATACCGATTCGCAATAGCAGCCCTGATAACCCCAGCCAACTGATCAAAGCCTCCGACTTCACGTACAAATGCAACCATGACACGGTCTTTAGTACGCCTTCACTCCAGCCAGTTTTAAGATCTGGTCCGTAATAACCGGTTTCTCCAAAGGTTCACTCCTGTCCTTCGGACATAACTTGCCGTTGCGTAGCGGTGGGCCAGCCTTGTGAATGTTGCAATGGGGCCAGTGCGTGGTGCCCTGGAAATTTTGGAACAGCTCAGCTTTTAGTTTCACGTCTTCCTCCTTTGCGAACTTTCGTGGCGTCATGCAGATGTATTGCACGTGTCGAATAAGATCGCCCTGTGGATGTGCGGCATAGTGCATCGTACGGCTGTCCCAAAGAACCTGAATATTGAATGAGCCACAGCCAGTTCGAGATGGATATCTTCATGTACTTACCAAGTCGCCGGGGTCCAGATTTATCTTTTGCAATGTGCAGCCCCTGCTCTCGAACCACTTCACGTCTTCTTCCTTGAAGATAAAAAGGTCTCTCATCTCTTCCTCTGGCGGTGGCTTGTCTTCATGTTCGTCTTGTTCTCGCTTTTCGGCAAAGAATTCATCAAATAGTTTTGAACTACCCTTCATCAAGATCAAACCACCATCCTTCGGTCCATTGGGCTGAAAGTTCAGCAAACCCTGTACGCATTGCATTCCCTTGCGGTTCTCGTTTTGATCGCAATGTGGCCATGGGCTCCAAGTCAGGTCTTTTTGTCGTGGTAGGGTAATGTTCATGCCATCAAATGAGCACAAAAGCTCGTCAGTGCCCCATAGCTTCGTGAATACATCCACAACCTTGGGCTCTGTTCGAGCTTCCCAGACAAACTTCTCGTGGGTGCTGGAGTAAGCGAAGTACATGCCGCCTTTGAAACTAACGGGGAGATGGTCGGCAGTCCAGGTGGATTCGTCATTGGGATCAAAACCAAGACCAAACGATTGCAACCATTCGATTTGCTTTTGTTTGTAGTATTCGGCTCGTTCTGGTGTAACGACACCCTTCACCACTGCACAACCGTCGCGGTGAAAGTCATCGCGCCAATCTCCATACGTCTTTCCATCGTGCTGGATGAGGTCGACACCCGTGTCGGCCTTGGGCTCTTCAGCGTGAGGGGCCATGATAGATTATTTGACTTACAGAAATGTTGAGTGAGTGTTTCTGATGTTGCTGAACACAACGAAGTTTGGTGTATTAACTTTTACAACACTGTCTTGAAAGCTTTAAATGTCTGTTGTGAGACATTACTCAATCATTACTTATGTGGGGTTCCGGAAATCTCGACCTGTGACGCGCCCACAATTCCGAGTCGGCAAATGTGGGCAGCTGTACGGGAGACAACGCCAAACTTGACAGGGCACGGCCCAGCACGGCCGTGTGAGTGAGGGGAAGTGCATTAACCGTTTCCGGAAATTCGTCGGGAGCACCAGCACTCACACAATTTCTGTAAACATCTCTGCAGTCCATAAAGCACCTGCATGCCGCCTCCTTTAACATTCTGATTTATTTTTGGAGGTAATACTGGTTTATATAATTCACTCTTCTTCAGTACTTATCATCTCCTCCAGGGCCTTGCATCATGCCTGCTCAGTTACCCCAAGTTGCGTATAAGCGCATATCTCAACCTGAAGTCGGTGTCAACAATTACCAAGGCTTCACACCCGGAAAAGTCGAGATTGTCAAAAAGGGTGCCCGACCCTACGGAGGCCGCGCCTTGGAGAGCGATATTCGGATAGATCACGATGTTGAGATCAAAGTTCGCGACGGTGTACGGTTGTATGCAGACATCTATCGACCTGCAGACGCAAAGGATGACGAGAAGCTGCCCGCAGTCGTTAGTTGGTCCTGTTACGGAAAAAAATATTCAGCTCTTCACATGCTGCCTATGACTGTGTGGCAATGCTGTGTGCCCAAGGAGGCTCTGAGCGGCTTAGAAAAGTTCGAAGGCCTTGATCCAGTAACGTGGTGCCCTCGTGGTTATGCAATCGTTTCAGTCGACTCCCGCGGCACGGGGGACTCCGATGGATCCATTCCCCTTATGGGATCTCAGGATGCTGAAGACTGTTACGACGTTATCGAAGCACTTGCAGCCATGCCATGGAGCAATGGAAAAGTCGGAATGGCGGGGAACTCCGCGCTGGCAATTATACAGTGGCACGTCGCTTCACTCCACCCACCCCATCTAGCTGCCATCGCGCCCTGGGAAGGATCGGGTGATATCTATCGTGAACAGTTTTGCCGTGGCGGTATCTTCTCAATGTCCAACTTTGATCTCATCACAAAGTTCATCATCAAGACAAACAACCCGAACGGCGGCATTGAGGATATGGCCGAGATGTACCGAAGATCATCAGTCTCTAACGCCTACTGGGAAGACAAGCGACCAGATATGACCCAAATCCAGTGTCCTGTATACATCAGCGGAAGCGATTTCAGCAGTATCCATACCATGGGTTCTGTGAGGGGGTGGCTCGAAATCCCTCATGATAAGAAGTGGATCCGATGGAGCTCATATCAAGAGTGGTATGAGTTGTATTGTGTTAAACATTCGCACGACGAACTGCAAAAATATTTCGACTTCTATCTCAAGGGCGTTTCCAATGATTGGGAGACATCAGTACCGAAGGTTCGATGGTCCGCATTGCAGTTTGGAGACCAAGACGCAATTGACAACATCGAATATGCCGACTTCCCCATACCAAATACGCAATATCGCCATTTCCATCTTTCGAAAGCGGGACTCAACGAAACACCAGTCTCTTCACCAGAGATAGTGTCCTATAACTCCGAGGACGCAAAGTCAATTGCAGAGTTTAACTATACTTTTACAGAAAAGTCACGACTCATTGGGCTGCCGAAAGCAGTCCTCTACATGTCTTGCCCCTCACATGACGATATGAACGTTTTCATCATACTACGTAAGCGCGACAAGGATGGTCAACTTATGATGCACCTCTGCTTTCCATTTTCTGCAGTTCCGGAGGGCATCAAGAGCATTGCGGATATTCCCGAAAAGGATCGCCAGAGCACGAACTTGCACATCGGAAGTGTAGGCACTTTACGTGCAAGCCATCGGCGATTTATCCCAGAAAAGTCTATCCACGAGAATTTTCCATTCCACCCACATGATATCGAAGAAAAGGTGAACCCGGGTGACATTGTGAAACTCGAAATTGGTATTTGGTCTATGGGTGTAGACTTTGAGAAGGGTCAATCGATCAGTGTCCAGGTGAGCCTCTTCTGGAAAACTCGATTTGATATTGCATGATTACTGACGAATGCTTCAGATCTCAGGAACGTTTCCAGCTATTGCAGAATATACCGCATTCTCAACGGAGCGCCCAGAGCATGAGAGAAACAAAGGCGAGCACAGGATTCATATTGGCCCTGATACACCCAGTCACCTTATTCTCCCGTTTGTCTCGATATAATGATAGATGATTAGAATTGAAAGAATCTTTTAGCATGCTGGTAGTGAGCCCGTTTTCCCAATTTGCGATGTGCCACTTTATGAGTTTGACCCTATGATCTGTTGACTTTGGACGACGAGGACTAACTTCTTTGGGTGATAAACCTGTGGTTGCGCAGTCGTGGAGACAAGTCCCCTTTGCTATCGCGGCCAACACTCAAAAGTCTTGCTCGAAGATGACGATAATTAGTCATCTATAGAGTATGTTGCGCTTGTCTTTGTTGAATGGTTCTTAAGTTTTGGAAATACGATGCTTTTCTAGCCAATGATATCAGATCTGGGGAATGCTTCACCTCATACCAAATCCGCCGATGAAGCGATTCCTATCGGACATTAGGCCTTCACTTTTGTAATAGATTTTCGGAAATCTGTGGTTGTAAGCCATTGCCCACTCTCCGAACGCTAGTTCGGTTATGGTACCCATTGCTAGGCCCAACTGGCATGTGGGTCCTACCCCGCATATTTACCCCGTGGAGACAAATGCCCCGATATGCCATGCCATGCGTGGCTATGGTCAAGGGATACGGGGTCAGAAGTTTGCTCTTGTTCCAAGCCTCCAAGCACAAGGCTTCCGAGATTCCTCGGTTGGAGTGGGAGCAACTCAAGATGAAAGCGCGCATTTATAAAGAAATGAATGTCCGGTCGTGGTAATGCTTCAGGCCATCAGTGATCCCCTTGAGCTCTCCCAGGATTGAGGTGAGCGGGCCATTTTTTCTATTATCAAACATCTAATTCCCACCGGACACTTTGTTCTCCTCCAACTCAACTCCTTCTGGAGATGGCCGACACGACGAAAGATGCGAAACCCTCAGAGGTGAATGTAGAGAGATTTGAATGTCTCTCGACTGACGAGGAGAGCAAAGATGGACTTTACCAGAGCCAGACAATGGGCACGGTAGCCATCACTGATGACAAGGACATCTATCTCATACCTGCACCAAGTGCGGACCCAAGAGGTGACTTACTCCAGTCCCTGTCCTTTTTATATATCATTGATTATCCTTCTAGATCCGCTTAACTTACCTAGATGGAGGAAAATTGTTTTCATCACCCTTGTATCAATATGTGAGGCTGCATCATGAGATACTCATCTTCAATGGCTAACCAAAATGATAGTCTCTAGTATTGGCCTTTCGATGGTATCTGGGTTCGGTGGCCTATTAGGATTTTACATCCCAGATTACTCTAAGCATGGTGCTGACTACGCTGATATTACTGCTCTCATGACGTATCCATCAATGTTCATGGGTGTCGGCTGTCTTACATGCACGCCGCTGGCTTTGTCAGTCGGCAGACGGCCTGTCTATCTCGCATCACTGGTGGTACTAATATTGGGCGCCCTGTTGGCGGCGCAAGCAACCAACTACAATTTTCATTTGGGCGCAAGAATGGTTCTTGGTCTTGCTGCTGGTCAAAGCGAAGCTCTAGTACCCTTGATGATTCAGGTAAGAAGCATGCAGTTGATGCAAAAGTTGCCTACTTATCTCGCATCTTAGGAAATCCATTTTATCCATGAACGCAGTACTTTCCTCATGTGGCAATCCTCGATACAAACTGTCCTCTCAGCTGGCCTTACTATTGCCGCATCACCTCTAGCCGGAGCAATTGGTCCTGCAAACTGGTATAGGTTAGGCGCGGGACTTGCAGGCGCGACTCTACTCTTTTCGATTTTCCTTGTTCCAGAAAGCCGTTATCCTCGGACTCTTCAAGCATACGGCCAATCCACTGGCGAGAACGACGACGAAGCAGGAGAGATGACGACACGACCGATGCGGCTGTCAGAAAAACCTGCTTTCAATCTTACAAAGTATCAGCCGCGGACGCTCAAATCGGATATGCGTTTATTTGTTGGGAAGTTTGACTGGGCTGAAGGCTATTACAGCTTTGTTGTAAGTCATACCAAGGATTCGCATTCGTTTCATAGCCAACTTAACTTCGATCAGCACACCTTCCAAATTCTCCTTTTCCCTAATGTTTTATGGGCGTTCTGCCTCAACGGATTAACTATGTTAGTACACTACCATATGAGATACTCGTGTGAAAACTGACAACTGACGACCTGCAGTGGTATAAACATCGCCATTGGTACAACTTACGGCAAGATTGTTACCAGTGCTCCCTACAACTGGGGTGATGATGCAGCATCATATGTAAATGCTGGACAAGTTGTAGTCGCATTTGTTACGCTTCCTCTTCTTGGTTATGGGTCCGATAAGATTATCAAATGGCGAGCTGCGCGCAATGGCGGTCTCCATGAGCCTGAGAACCGTCTCCTCGCACTCTGGATCCCAATCATGTTTGGCGTCCTCTCTGCTACACTCTACGGCCAAGCTGGCGAACATCCAGAGAAATACCACTGGTTCGTCATCGTCTTCGCCAATTCGGGATACTACTTTTGCTTTCTTGGTGCCAACATCGCTGCTATCACATACCTACTCGACTCCTATCCTGCCCGGGCCGGGCCTGTTCTTGTCGTCATCACAGCTTTCCGTGGGTTTGTTTCTTTTGGTACAAGCTATGGTGTGGCCAAATTTATTGACACTGCTGGATATGACGGATCTTTTGGCACATATGCTGGGTTAACGGCGCTCTTTGGGTGCCTAGGTATTCCTATCTTCATATTCGGAAAGCAGATCAGGGCTTATACGGGTCGATGGGCAAAGACGAAACGGGCTGGAATTCCTTCCATGTCTCGTTGAGTTATGAACAGCCTCTTAGGGCAATAAATGGAGTTCTGAAGAGGATCAAATATGTCGTTCTAAATCTCGGAAGGCTCCCATGACGATGAAGGGACGTTCGCTGAGCACATACGTATGAGTTTCTTCTATATTCGCAAGACATGGCGTTTCATAATATCGATATATGTGCAAGAGTATTACTCATTAGTGTTAATCACAAGTTTATTACGTCAATCTATATCTATGTTTGCGCTTGAAACGCCATATCTTCACAATGACAACTGTCATCAATGATGTTGATGGATGCGCCGTAATCTCGTTCGATAGATCAGAATACTTAAAAAAACGAAAGGATGATGTAACGCTCCGAATGCCAAAGGACTTGGTACAATATCTGGTGATGGAAAGATGTACCGAGTCCTTTCTGCAGCCTTGTCTATGCAGTGATATAGCATGAGAGGCAGCTGAAGCGTGTATGTATCTTCAGAAGGCATGATAACTATGCCATCACAGTTGTGGGCAGCATATTTCTGGAAAGTAAAATCACTCACTGAACGGCTGTTCCTTTGCTTTTTGTAAAGATTGAATCATAGTTTGAACATAGCCGATGAATTTGTATGACATTTGCAAAATCTAAGCCTTGATGTACGGAATACCAGTTAACTTGAATGTACGCTCATCAAGGGCTGGTTTGTTGACAGGCTCAAAACGGTTGTATGGGTCATCCTTCCCATCGCGCTTTGCCAAGTTTGAACCAGCGTGTCTTGCATTGGGCCAATGAGTAGTGCCGACATGCCGCTCGAAAGCATCCTTCTTGCGTACAAGATCTTCTTGAGTGGCGTGGCTGACAGGCATGTAGCAAGTATATACAGCAAACCTTAGCTGATTCGTTTTTGATCCGAGGTTGTAGTGAGGAGTACATGAGTCCCTTATTCGTAGTTAGCACACAGATCAAGGAAAGAAGACCGAGATAAAGAGAAGACTCACCAGAGTAAAAAATCGCCTGGCTCAGCGCACACCTTGACCCATTTCAGACCCTTTTTCTCGAGCCATTTCAAGCCGTTCTCTGTAAATCCATACCATTCAGGGGTCCATGCTGGAATACGTGGCTCATCGGCCATGTCTTTATGGAACTCATCAGATAAGAGATGTCCACCTGGACATACTATAAGGCCGCCATCATCTGGACCATTAGGTAACAGATTTACAAGGCCCTGCATGCATCTAAACCCCGGTTTGCTGGATCCTGATCTTGGTGTGGCCGTGGTTTATTGGGCTCTATGTCTGTCCGACTATCGCCTGATTAGTTGGTTCGGATGACAGTAGAGAACGGTAGTTCACTTTGGAAAGGTGAAGTTGATGGCGTCGAATGAGACAATGAGGTCCTTGTCATCGTATATCTCTTCGAAAGCCCCTACAACACCTGGCTCTCCCCGGACACCCCAAGCAAAGTCTTTGTGTGTTACCGCATAGCTGAGACACATGCCTCTCTCATTGATAGTGGGCAATCGATCTCTATGGACAGTCGAAAGATCATTTCGATCGAATCCCAGATTGCTATCAACCGTGTCAATGTTGCTACAGAAGTCGATGGAATCATCCTGACTTACAAGCCTTCCAACCATTCGTACATTCTATTGGCATAAGCATCCGCCCTTTCTTTCGGGATCGCGCCCTTTACGACAGCATAACCGTCACGGGCCAGATCGTCTCTCCAATCATCATAGTTAGTTTTCGACCCATCGATCCTCATGGAGTTCTCGCCAACAGCCTTCAATGTCACCGGAACAGTCTGGGTGGTAGTTTGGATCATACCGGGCAACATCACTTGGAAATTAAATGGTTGCTTATTCCCAATCGCGAGCAGCGTAAACGAAACTGTTATAACCAATACACATCACCCATCATATGCCCTACTTGCCGAGATACGGCCCATGTAGTTCTCCATGTGGCCCGAAAATCTCCCACATAATCCGAAACACAAGGTCTTGGCACGTTTTAGATAGCCAGTATCTTGCATTGGGCCCTGAAATCGAATCGTTCCTGCCGATCCTCCATTGACAACTTCGTATCAATATTTGGAGGAGTCGAGATGCACTTCCCGGCCGTGGCGATATTCGTGCTTGCACATCCCGTGGCTTTCGGGCAGCTGGACAAGTCGATACTGAACTCAGCACCAGTGGCAACAATTATCGGCAAACTGATCTCGAAATCACTCATGGGTAGATCCGAACCTACCTGTCCTAGAGCTTAACCTCATCCTCCACTGCCTGTGGCAGCGCACAACGCAGCAATTTTCGTATCGGGTTTCTGAATCAAATTGAGTCGTGCAAATATGCTTATGAACCAAAGGATGATTGTCCGACGTGATCCCACCAACTAGTTACCAAGATACGTGATGGGGAAATCTTATCAAATCTTGTCACAGGATTGGGCACTTGTAATTCATGACTCGTGTTCAATGCTGGTGATACGGCTGCGATGTTCCAGGCGTGCGGGGTCCGCGCAGAAGGCGGGCTATTGTACAACCGAGGAGGATAGAAAAAGCCCAGGGGTGCCCACATGTTCCGACAGCGTTGGCGCAGGGTCGACATACCCCAGATTCTTTCCACATATCCCGCTACCACTCGTTTCACTGCCAAATGTCAGCAGAAACCGATGCTACGAATATCAGACCATCAAAGCGGGCTCGAGCCTCCTCTAATGCGGACAACGTGTCGTCGCTACAATGTCAGGTGTGCCACCGCACCTATGACCGGCTTGACCACCTGAACCGGCATTTGGACTCCCGTAAAAATTGGTCCCCCCACCCTTCGGACATAACGCTTACGAGCTTTAGATAGGAACGAAAGATCCTTTCGTTGCAGAGAGTGCCCTGCAGCATTTAATCGGAGGTGAGTACTATCTTGGCGTTTCTGGCGCTGGCGTACTGATTCTGGCTCCCGGCACGTGCTTGGCAAATCGCGAGAGGCTTCCACGAAACACTAAAATCCACTACTGACAGCGTTGTGATTACAGAGACTTACTTCTTCGACATCAATCTGCTCATGCGAAGAATGCCGCAGAAGGGCAACCAAGCCTAAATCGTCCCGTTGAGAGAGCGACCAAGGCATGCAACTTCTGTGTTATCTCCAAGGTGAAATGCGACAATTACCGGCCATGTCAGAGATGTCTCAAGAAAAATATACCATGTACCACGCAGATCCCGGATAAGCAAAATGTCCCTGTTTCTGATTCTAGCGCACCCGTCGAGCAAACATCAGAGCGTTTGTTGAGTCAGGAAGAATCACGATCTGATCTGATGTATCCTGTCGATGCATTCATAGAGGCTGCTACCGTAAACCAAGGCATCTCAGAAATCTACCATGAAGCAGCCCATCCACCACAAGCTCTGTCGAATTTCTTCGAGCAGATCATGGTTACTCAGTCAGACTTTCTCGCGACTGACTACTTGCACCCGTCTGCTGGTCTTACCGCATGGCTACCTGAAACTGACTGGTTAGGAGAAGTGGATCTCTTCGGGGCTGATTTCATGCCGGCAATAGATGAGACGTTCAATTTGCCGTCATTAAATACCGGTCGCGTTGGCACGACAACTACACCAGGTGGCACTGTTGTCAATGAAGCTCGAGCGACCAACAGCGGCGACGCAGTGCGGCGACGACATGCTGTTTTCAAGCAGTCACCATGGTTTTGGATCCCAGAGAGCAACCAAAACGCTTTCAGTGAACAAGAGGGTATCACACTCGACGAACGGCAAGTGGATCTTGCTCTCTCTCCCCATCAACCTCATGCATCTAATGTCATTATTCCTGGTCGTTTGTCACAACAAAGTCGTGATCAAATACTCCAACTCGTTCTCAAGACTGCTCCTAGTCAAGTAACAATGTCGTCTTTCCCATCGGCAGACTGTCTTGATAAGCTTATCAAAGTTGGTATAGCCAAACGGACTGAAGGAGACGCTTGGATACATCCCTACACGTTCAACTCCGATACTGCTAGACCGGAATTCCTGACAGCGCTGGTCGTAGCAGGTTGTATATGCTTCGGAATACCGTCAGTAAACAAGACTGGGCTCGTCCTTCAAGAGATTGTCCGGGTTTCTCTTAGGGAGCTCGCCGAGCAAGATAACGGAGTCATGCGTGATCTACAGTACCTGCAAGCTTGCATGCTCTGGCTTGATATAGGCGCATTCTGCGGCTTTCGGCGCAAGATGGAATTAGCTGAAAGCTCCTTGCAGGTACTTGTTACGTCGTTACGTCGGGCGGGCAGGTTCGACGATGTTCGATATTCTAATATCGTACCTACGTCAGAAGATGGCGTAGAGGAGTTGAGTAGGAAGTGGCATCAATGGGTTGAGCTCGAATCTTTCAAAAGATTGGTTTATCATCTTTTCGAACACGACATATATATGACGATGGTCAACCACCGACAGCCGTTGCTTTCCTATGCTGAGCTTACACTCCCACTGCCCGCTTCAGAATCATTGTGGCTTGCACCATCTGCTGAAGTTTGGAAGGCGCGTATGATGAATATGCAACTTGCTAGCTCACGTCCCTCTATGCGATCGATTCTCCAGGAACCAGGGTCTGCCTCTTGTCTACACGCTGGTTTCGACACCCGCATTGCGCACTCAGCATATATCCATGGGCTAGCATCGCAAGTGTGGGAGCACTGCCAACAATCTGTACTTCTCCATGATATGAGTGACGCTTCTTCTCAATTATGGTCCCGATCTCGCCAACAAAAGCTACATGAATGTATACGAGACACGAACATTGTTCTTGATAGCTCAACCGCCTTGATATGTGTCTTCCAGCAATTCTTGCAGATGTACTTATTTGCAGACTTGGACACTATCACTCGGTTCGCCGGGAGATGTGGTGAGGAGGCCGCACATCGTGCATATATCGCATTGCAACCATGGTGTAAATCTCGAGAAGCTCGCACAGCGATCGGTACGTAACAATAGCTCTTACGAGCAGATCATAGCCTATACTTACTAAGACATTGTAGCACACGCAGGCCAGGTTCTACACGCTGCGCGAGCGATTCTTCCATATCAAAATCGAGGCCAAGATTCATTCATCATATACCACTCGATTATGGTCCTGTGGACGTACAGCATGATAACAAGCGATTGCGCCCGCAAGACAAGATGCAATACTCCTACCCAAGTGGAACTAGCAGCGATACACGATGGGCAAACGCTTGTGTTTCTAGATGATGCACGCTGTTCTAACCAGTCTGCGGTAAATACCTTCATCATGATGAACACTGGGATTCCTTGTCTCCGGATATCATTTGGTGATACTGGTGCACAATCCGAAGTTGAAGGCAATGCCAAGTCAGACACATGCGATCTCAGATATCCGTGGCAGGTGATGAAAGCAGGTGTGGCGCTTCTTGATGCAACGCATCCTGGTGTGGATAGAGAAACTGGGCCGCCACTGATTCGAGCTCTTTGTGGATTGATGGAGGACCTGGGTGGATTGCAATCATCATAGCTATCCACTATTCCTTCTCAGACGCTACGCGGCCGCCATTTACATAGTCTAGTCAGCTAGCCACCGTGCAGTGTCTCACTGATGAGATAGGCCGAATGTCAGATTTTCATCAGCGGAATAAAGTATAAGATGTACATCTTACGAGCGGGACATCATACGAGCGGGAGAGAGATCAAGGTTTTACCCTTGTAGAATGCTCACTAACGCTTCCGAAGCTGTCCAACAACGTAAGTGAGTTTCCTACTGAGATTGGCTATATGTCCCAAACGGTGCTGGATTGCAAACCGAGCTCCTACATGTGTCCTATGAGAACTCTATTTTGTGCAGACAGGCAGCGCCCGCTCGTACAAGACGCTGCTGTGTGAGCATTGTTAGCCTAGCAATCCTGGACCCTGCGGATCGTCAGGTCAGGAACTGCCATGTTTTCGAAATCATGATCGCTGCTCGAGAAGCTAGAAAATGAGCCCTTATGACATCGCCAATATCCAAGCGGTCCTAGCAAGGGGTGGTTCCGGTCGGGGTCGACTGTCTAACTAAGACAAGGCACCTCATCGTCAGTAATGGTATCTTTAACACTGAAGAAGCTGCCCCCTCATCATCAAGCATGTCCAAGAGAGCTAAAGCTTAACTGAGATGGTGATATTGCCTTAGAGCTAAGACAGAACGTTTTAGTAGAATTTTGGTAATAATCAAAAGAATCAAAATAACAATATTAATAACAATAGAAACTTATACATTTCAAACCAGGAGCGGGGAATTAGCATACATAGGTATAGCCTATGGTAACTTACTATTGCACTGAGGGCTTGACCGCAAGTTAACTCCACGTTAGGATTACGCCACCCACGGGAATTTCTTAGCAAATTGCTCCAACTTAAAAGATCACCACCATAGTAGTTATATAAGCACTTGTTGATAGTGTAGGGGCGCTAGTCAGGGGTACTTGGCAAAGTTTTCCATACACCCCCTTATATCTCTCTTATCTCAATGTGTTTCTTGAGTTGAAATACTACTATCTTGGTATATGCATCAAAAGGGGTAGCTTTGAGGGAGGGCAACTGTTACCCTTGCTAAAGCCTCTCCCCTTGATGTTGCTGTCTCCTATCTCCTCCACCCCTTACAGCCTTGCTCTTAGTTCTGTCTAACCCTTTGCCTCGATTTACATGCACGGAACCAGTAAGTATTACAGGTACTATTGAAGAATGAATGAAACGTCAAGAGAAGTTCTCAGTGCTACATAGGGCGTTGTAATAGTGCGTACTCGACATGTGGTGGAGATCTTGTATAGACTCTTCTTCCAGTCTCAAATTCTCATCTTTACTTACGATCAAATGTCCCTAAGCTAAACTTATAAGATCTGCCTATTCGCACACTCTTACGAATACGCTTTAGCTGAGACCTAAAACAAGAACCTGTCGTATAAGCGTTATCCAGATTGTCGTTAGGAATACGTGGATGATGCTGAGTGGTCCGTATCGCTAACCAATCCTTCAGACAGCGTCACTCTAATATAGGAAACGCACGTTCATTACCCCTGCTCGCAATGATCACTGCGTTACCGGTAGCCGTAGATCGATTGCACCTAAGAACATAAATCTAATTCTTTTCTCGCGCTCAATCATATTCTAGAGTTCAGACTGAACTGGCTGACCTTCTCCGCGATAGCATCCTAATCGGTTACGACAACCAAATACACCTTCATTGATTCTATCGAGACGAAAAACCCACCAGTGAGACTCCAAGCTGCAGCAGTAATCACAATGGTTACCTTTCTAGAGTCAACCTTGATCAAACTGTCTCTGAACTCCGAAAATCTCTCTTTATATTATCCAAATCCAGTGCGCTATACCTCAATATCGAGGAATCAAATCGCAGTCGCTATAGAACCGTCTCAGTCATCACTATCCATGTACATCTACCAAATCAAGCTCAACTCATCGATGTTTCGGCACTGAGTGACCAAGCCTTTAGCACTGCATTGAAGGACGGCACGACTCTTCAGTCTATCCTAGAAGACCGCAGCTTTCTCAAATACATCTAGGGCGTAAGCAACGATACCAACGCCTTGTGGTTCCACTATGGAGTGAGCCTTATTGGCATTACTGACCTCCAACTGCTCGAAAATGCTTCGAGATCAGACGACAAAACATATATTCGCAGTCTCGATAAGTCTGTTCAGAATGATTTAAAACTTGGATTTATGGAGACGAAAAGCTGGCTTAGTACAAAACAAGATATCGGGAAAATCATGTACACCGAAGTTTTTTCCTTGCGCCCTTTGCAACACGAGACGTCTACAGGCACAACTAGGACCCCACACCAACTTTTAAGCAGAAATTTTTCATCGAAACTCGTCAATTTTCTATCGAATATAGGGGTAACACGTCGCGAGAAATCGATTTACGCCAACTCTAACGTGTGCAGCCCTCTCGTTGAGGTGCTAGAGGAGGTATTGTCGA